CTCTGACAACTTAAACTTTTAGATGAGATGATCATACACTTCAACATAATAGCAGAGCAGACAAAAATGGGATGATCACACACTCAGGGGTGAAGCTATCCTAGGGCAAGGGGTCTAGCCACACCTCTTGAAGGTTTAGTGTAGTGATTATGGGGTTGTAAAAATTGCTTGAGGTTGTGTGTTCATTCCCCGATAATAACGCTTATATATTTTTACTTTATATTTTGACACCCCTTAATAAAAATTCTAATTCCGCCACATCACACACTTCAACATGATATCAGATAGCGATTTTATAATCGAATTTCATCGCCACCCACATCAAAAAAGTATTTCCACACTTGAGAAAATTTAATTTGCTGGTGCTTATATAGAAAGGGTGAAAAATAAAATTAAAAAGGAGAAAAGGATATGACTGCAAAAGAAAATGACTCAATAGAAAATGATGCTATAATTATTATCCAGTGTTATATCGTAAAATTGATGGAGACTGTTCAGTTATTATGGCGTATGGCCATCTTAAATGCCAGAAACTTTATGATATAACCATTTTCTTTTAGAATGGGTAGGTCAACATATCTCACTACATCTGTTTGGCAAGTTGATGATATTCCAATTTTAGTAGGAGTTTAAATATTTTTCACTTTATTTAGAATTTATAAAGTTGGAGTTGCAAATGAAACTGTAATCATGAGAATTTTATTTGAAATTTATGAAACCAGGATTGGAAAACAAAGTTGGACCAATTTTCTATTTGGAATCCAAGTTCAAGTTATTTAATGATCAAACACTGATTTTGAAATAAAAAAAATAAATTATTCTTCAGAAAAATAAATAGTTCTCATGATCAAACGACTCAAGATGGAAAACACAATTTAGCTAATTAATCATTTATCACTTAATTAACTTCTAAATAGTAATATTGACAAACATAATTGGAATGTTTCAACATGAGATATAAGGTACTTAAGATCCCTTTGAGTTTGAAGCTCTTGTTATTCGTTTGAATTATCATATTGACAATCAACAAAGAATCAAGTTTTAAGTTGTATAAGTTTATAACTATTTGCAAAACCTTATTTTTTAAAAATACAATTAAAAAAATGTTAGATAAATTGAGAAAAATCTCAAGCTGTAATTAAAAAATCAAAATTGCAAAGAAAAATCTCAATCATACTAAGTTTAATTAGGTTTAATTTTGACATAACATTTTAAGAAAGCGAATTTCAAAATCAACCGATGAATAACCCTAGCATATATTACCATTTTTTGACATCAAGACAACATCATTAAAAAGACTGTAAATTTTAGGGGTGGTGCTAAAAATTTATATTATGTTTTGGATAGAATTTAATGATTTATGTTAATATAATTTTATTAGCTTAAATTTAAAATTTAATAAATAACTCTTGAAATCTTCTTTCTAACAAAATGCATAATATAATTTATTTAATTAAAATTTTGACTTTGTCACTGATATCGATATCGTGTAAACTTTGCTTCATAGTGACAAACGAGAAGCCACAAACAGTCTCCTCAATTTGTGCATGTTGAGTAAACATTAATTTGGCTAGAGAGAAGACATAAAGTGACACCTGAAGTTGTCTCGAATTTCAAAAAAATACTTTAACTATGCGGGCGTCCTATTACCCCACAAAAGTATTAAATATCGTTGTAAAGAGACTATTTTAACCCATTTTCTCCCTATGTTTACATTCACGCAGATGTGATTTTTTTTGTCCAAAAACGAATAAAATGGCTCCACATGTCATTTCCTTCTCTATTATTTAATTACATCTTTTTTAAATACTTCATCTTCCCCAATTCTTTCAAAAAGATCCATGGTTGAAGGTTTAAACTCAAAAAAATATATAAAATCATCTTCTCTCTTGAATGAAATCAACCCAAAAAGATAAGAACTTTCTATCTTCTTATTAATTTCCAGTCGTCAAGATTTAATTTCTTTAAAAATTGAGAAATCAAGTTATCTTTTGTGATTAGATTTTGAGGAAAAACATTCCTATAATGTCAAATACAAATCTTGAATCATATTGTAATGACGAGAATGATTCGATGTTGTGTGTGATACGATGCAAACATGAAAACTTACTTTTTAGTGCAAATTTAGTGGTCAAAGCAAAAAAAAAAATTATGTTTTCTCTCATTTTTAAAAGCTTCTATTTTTTTTAGAATTTCGTTCCATGAGATGATTGAGTCTATGTTTCATTATGAAAAAATGCCACAAATTAAATCCTAGCAAAATTTCAACCCCCAAAAATTAAAGAAGCTCAACTCTTCATAACAATAGCGGAAAAAATGGACGACTCCAAAAAGCGAAAGCTTGCTTTAGCATCCGGAGGCAAATCACCTCCCAAGAAATTGAAATCATCAATTGAAAAGGTTCTGAAGAAACCCATAAATTGAAAGCAGTGAAAGTGTCCTTTACAGGCAAAGATGTGCCAATATTTTAGTTTTTGGTCTGCATTTTATTAATATTTAAATTAATTTATTAAAATGAGGTGTGCATCACTCTCCTATTAGAATTCTTGGGTTGGTGAGAAAATGGGTCAAAATAGTCTCTTTACGACGATATTTACTATTTTTGTGGAGTAATAGAACACCAGCATAATTTAGATGTCTTTTTGAAATTTTGAAACAACTTCAATGATGGCTTTATGTCTTTTCTCATTTGGCTATATTGAGAATGGCTTAAGTCATCTGCGGCCCCTTAAAGTTGTCCACATAATTCATTTAGACACCTTAACTAAGGCTTGTACCTATTGAACACTCTAACCTTAATAAATTTTTACCTATTTGACATAAACTGACAAACAGTTGAAAAATAAAAATGCGTGTATCTCAAACGTTAATACAAAATTGATTTACCAATAAAATTATGACATGTGGTATTGTATTCAATTTTTTTTAAAAGCTCTATTTAAATAATCCAAAAAGTATTTTAAAAAATTAAAAAAGTTTTTTTTAATTAACAGCCCCCCCCCCCCCCCTCTCCCTTCTTCTTCTTCGATAGACCCAATTCTAGTTTCCCCTTCCACCGGAGCTGGTGTCGGCACCGGCGACTCCAGCAAACCATCGCTCTAACTCTTTCTTCTCTTTCGTTGGCGTCGGCAGTACAAAATACACTATTTCTATCTATTCAAGTTAAATACTCATTCTCTTTCATTTCGATAACATGAATATCTTTTACTCATTGCCTTCATCTTCTATCCATTAGTAACTATTTATTAGAATTGAAAAAAAAAATAACAAACTTTTTCCCAAAAAAATCAATTCATATTTTTTCATGTAATAAATTGAGCTTCATCGAAATTTTGAGACGTAAATTAACATAAAAAAGGAAAATAAGAAGAAGAATGGCAGAGGGCGAGAGAAAGAGAGAGGTGTAGGGGGTGGGGTGTGCGCATGTGTGTAAGAAAAATGATGAAAATGATGGAATAATAGATGCAGGGATGGGGAAGAAGATGACTGCTCCTTTTTTTTGTTAATTAATTTTTTTCTTTTTTATTAATTCAATTGCATAAGTTAAGGGTAAAATAAAGAAAAAATATTATTTTTTGATAACTTAACGCGCTCAAAGAAAGTGAAGCACACGTTTTTTGCCATGTCAGCATTTTGTATCTAATAGGAATGACTTTTGAACAAATAAGGTGTTCAATTGGCACAGGGATAAGTTGAAGTGTCTAAGTGAATTATGCGGACAACTTTAGGTAGCCGGAGATGACTTAAGCCAAGAATTGTGTGTATTCATACATGTCATGACCACTTTTACTATTCATCATAGTTTAGGACCTTTTGTAATTTCACTCTCAAAGACAACTCAAAAGGCAATTTTTTTTAAATTTTTTTACCATTTCAAAAATAAGATTCTTAACTAACGTTACATTTTTTAAAGAATAGACTGAGAATAATCAAAAGAATAATAGTGAAAAGTAATCTTTTAATTTATGTCATTAGATATTTCTTTTAAGGAGTGTGTCAAACCTCAACAATTCACTTAATATGAATGGAAAGAAGTATTAACCTCAATTAAATAGTAATTTAATTTTTTACCATATTGATCTTTCTCATTACAACAAAAAATATTTTTAGCAGCAATAAATATACATATTAACAAAGCATGCTAAAGTCTTTATCGACATTAGTTAATTGTCGTTGGATTCAATGTTGTTATACACTTTAGAAATATTTACAAAAAATGCTAAATTGCCACTAAAAATTCATATCTAGCAGTAAATAAACTTTTATCATTAATTAATTGTCGCTAAAGATTTTTTTTTTTTTTTATGTAAAGATGAAAACTACAGTAATCATTAATTATATCTCTTAATATTCTATCATAACAACTATTGCACATCAATTATTTTAAGTAAGCACGATAATTAAAATAATCAGAGATAGACTATAGGTTAGAATAATGTTAAAATCTAATTAAAGCAAACACATGTTGAGTATACAAAATAATCAAATAAATGACAATATCCTTTTCTTTTTCAACTATAACAACAGATATAGATAAGCTCATAATACATATAAATCCACTTCCAACATAACCCTACCATGTCTGATTTCAACTTGCAACCTTTCATATCCCTTTAGGCCTCTCTCAATTTAATACTAAAAGAAATCTAGCTATTAAAACAGCTCACGAGCACTTTTCAAAATAGATTTTTTTTTTCGTATGTTCAAAAAAAGACCATCCACAAACCCCTTTAATACTATATATTTTTATTTTTATTTTCTCTTTCTATAAACAAAGTATAAGACAAAACAAAAAGAAAATTACAAACTCTTTACTCAAATTGTGGTGTAGAATAAATCTCTCACTCTCCACGCTCCCCCACTTACAACAACAACAAAAAGGAAATAAAATGACATTTCTCTAAATCAAATATATATAAAAAAAACCATTTTGGGTATATTACTCTCTATTCCACTAGCAAAAAATTCAACCATTTCCCTAGCTTCGCGTTTTTATAATAATTCTTTCATCTTACCTCTTTTCGTGCTCCAATTTAGGGCATGCAAAGCTAATTTCACAAGGCAAAAGTTCGATATACGTATTTTTTTTATAATGCTAGCTGTGTCACCTTTTAGTAACACAACGGCAAGAGGTAATGAGATGGAAAGTTTCGCGATAGGAGGAGGTGGAGGTGGAGGAGATGATTTCTCCGATTTCATGGGGGAGAATTTACTCGATAGCATTGATTTTGATGACCTTTTTGTTGGGATCAGTGATGGAGATATACTTCCCGATTTGGAAATGGATACTGAAATCCTTGCAGAATTTTCAGTAAGCAGTGGCGATGAGTCTGATGTGAACAATTATAGCAGTAGTAATAACACTTTTATTACTACTGCTATAAAAAATGTAGAAAGAAAAGAAGAAATAGAAAAAACAGGCTCGTTTTCAGCATCGGATGTAGGTTCGGGTTTAACAACGAGCCTAAATCAAGGAGAAGAAATTGTGAGTACTCAAAAAAGTGAAGAATCTACGCAACAAGTGAATCAGAATATAATTACCCCAAAAGAAAGTGATAAAGGTAAAAAGTCATCCAAGAATAATAATCTTCCAGGCAAGAGGAAAGTGAAGGTCAGTATAAATAATTTTTACATTATCAGTTCTTTCTATCAGTTGAATCACGAGAATCGTAGATGTCTAATGCTACAATGACTTAGATGAATTAACTAAGTATCAAATCGATGAAATTAATTTTTTTTTATTGAATTGTGTGAAGGTGGACTGGACGCCAGAATTGCACAGAAGATTTGTACAAGCAGTAGAGCAACTAGGTGTAGATAAGGCAGTCCCATCAAGAATTTTGGAGATTATGGGAATTGATTGTCTCACTCGTCATAATATTGCAAGTCATCTTCAAGTATGAAAACTATATTCTTACTTTTTTTATTAATTTTCGAAATTTTTACTATATGATTCTGTAGATTTGGTTTAGTATTGATGCCAAATGAAATGGTCCTTATAGTTGTTCCATTGCATTTGGGAAAAAGAATAATAATAGACAATGATGAAAACTGAAAAAGTAGTACTACTAGAATTTGTTAGTTTTTTTGCATTGTTCTCTCTACCCCAAATGGTATATTATATAGTTTTAAAAAAAAGAAAAACAGATATGATTATTTGAAAATTGGAAAGTTTCTTTACTTTACTTAAAAAGGAGAAACATTTTAGGGCACCAAAAAGAGCATATCTGAATTCTAAATTTAACGCGTTTTATTCAGATTCTTCTAAATTATCAGTAGTCTTAATTATCTTTAGATCTGAATAAAACATGTCAAACATATGAACTAATTGATGAAAAATGTGCAGAAATATCGATCCCATAGGAAACATTTGCTTGCAAGAGAAGCGGAGGCGGCGAGTTGGAGCCACAGAAGGCAACTCTATGGAGGTGCACCCGTGGTTGGAGGGGGCGGAGGAAAGAGAGAGATGAAGCCGTGGCCTGCACCAACAATTGGCTTTCCTCCTCCTCCTCTTCCGCCCCCTATGGCACCTCCAATGCCTCATCATTTTAGACCCTTACATGTATGGGGTCATCCATCTGTCGACCAATCATATATGCACATATGGCCTAAACATCTAGCACCTTCGCCGTCTCCACAACATCCATCACCAGCATGGGCTCCTCCTCCTCATCTTCATCCTCCACCTCCTTCAGATCCTTCATTTTGGCATCCACACCTTCAACGGGTAAGTTTTTTTTTATTTAATAATATTCTTGACATGTTTTCTAACTTGATTATATTCTTTTAGTAATGACTGGTAGGAGACTCGAATCCAAGACTTTTGTCTGCTTTGGTTCTGGAGTGTTTCTGAATTGTGTGGGCATCACATCTAAAAGATATAAGTACTAGATAGATCTAGCTCCCTTTTATTTACGTAGCTCGGAGAGAGAGAGAATGCTATAGGAAGCCATTGTTGAGAATATTATTAATAAAAGTATGCTTCCTCCAATAACTTAAACTTTTAGATGAGATGGTCGTATACTTCAACATGGTATCAGAGCAGGCACATTTCCTCTCTGTAAGAGCTTAAGTTTTTAGATGAGATGATCGCACACTTCAACAACCATCCCATCTCGATAACGTATATTTGGAGCTCCATATATGACATTCAATAATCAACTAAGATATTGAACTACAACGGTGTGAATTGTTTAAATCTAGCAAGTATAACCTGGAAATAATTTAAACAAATAACTTGAACAACCCATAGTGAAAATAGTTTTTTTAGTTACAACGAGTTTGGCATAAAAAACGTTTAGACAGTATACAGAAAATTAATAATTGTGTTTGATTGTATGTATGATTAAATGATAAATTCTCCTTTTGTATTATTGTGCAGGTACAAAATTCTCTTACACCAGGAACTCCTTACTTTCCGGCACCCATAGCACCAACGGTAACTATATGTTCAATCAATTAATCATTGCTCTTTTGAATATTGTTTTTTATTTTCCACTCGGTAAACGATACTTAGTTTGGGACCTCAGCTAATTCGAAGTAATGTACAAGACTTATTAAAATAGAAAATTGCTTCCTATTAGGAATTTTTATAATCTTAAGGTTCGAATCTGAAGCTAGTGTTTGATCATATATAGATTTAGTTGAAACGTGAAAAAAAAAATGATATTTTGAAGTTTGAATATATATTTTACTGATTACTTTTGGAATTATGTAAATAGAGACCATGTGGTGTTTTTTTTGGCATATATATTTTTTGCATGTTTTTTTTGGCTTTATATAGTCTGAACAAAATAATTGTGGTGCAGAGATATCCGGCTGTTCATCTTCCTGTACCGGGCATACCACCCGTATCGTCGCATGGTATGTACAAAGTAGACCACTCTAATATTGGAGTTCGAAGTACCGCTACTCCTCCAGCACAACCTCTACCTAAACCTCCATGCGACTTTCATCCTGTATGCCCCTCTCTCAATAATTTTATTTTTTAACGTAATATATAAGCATGCTCTTTAATTCGGCTTCAGACTTCAGCAGACATTTATGTCTTCTAATTTTGGATGTGCACAAGTAGACACACGTCCTACAAAATCAGTTTGAGTGTATCTCACACGATGTGTGTCTACTTGTTCAACATATTTATAGTATGAAAATTATTTGCATTACTTGTCAGTATATATAACTTAAATCTTTACTGCGTATATATATATACACTCAAGATCTTTATTTTCCCATTTAGGTCATTGTTGAACTAGGTGTCATTGTATTATTAGTGCTCATGTTCAATTTAGTTTTTCTTCAATATTTGTTCAAGTTTTATTGACAACTTATTTATGGACAGTCAAAGGAGAGCATAGATGCAGCCATTGGAGATGTTTTATCAAAGCCATGGCTTCCACTTCCCCTCGGACTCAAACCTCCGGCCGTCGATAGCGTGCTCGGCGAATTACAACGTCAAGGGGTACCTAAAATACCACCAACTTGTGCATAGTCGTTTTTAATGAGGCAGCTAGCAAAACGCAGGTGGATTTTTTGGGGTTCACTTAGGGTACGTAACTAAGTAGCCCTTCAATTCGACGACATTTCCTGCACTTATTTAGATGCATGAAGATGATCAATTCGACGTGGATCGTATATCATCACCAACATCATCGTCTAAATTAATGCAGTTTTTTTTTTACCTCAAATATATATATATAAGAAAACTTTTAATTAATTTGTTCTTGTTTTGCTATGTACAAGAACATGTTTTAACTTAACCGTTGGGGTTTTTGTGATGATGTTATCACCGGTTTGAGAAATATCATGATAATAATAGCAAGAGCTTCTTGTAATTAAACTTGTTATCTCCAAGATTCTCTTCTTTAATTAATTCCTTACTTTTTATCTTGACTGGTGTGTTATTGAATATTACGATCGATCTGATAGCTATTAGTCACTCAATTAATAGTAACTTTCTTTTCTTTGTTAAAGAAAATTAGAATCAAGAAAATGACAACTTCCAGAGATATATAATAACTATTAATTGAGTGATCATACGAGAAATCAACCTCATGAAAGAGGCAAGCATACAATGAACGAAAGATTTAGCTTGGTGAAAAAAAGAAAGTTCTCCATCAATCTTACGAATAATTATTCAAGAAAAAAAAGTTAAAAGAACACTCAATTAGTTGATATGTTTGAGTTTCCATGCATGAATACGACTATGGAGTAATTAATTTGAGTTCATAAAGTCCTTCAAATTATTAAGCACCCTTAATTAACCAACTTTTAGAGTCATTCTCATTCACATGGAACTATTAATATTTATGATTATAGTTGCATAGAAAATAAAAAGGAGCCTTAGAAAAAACAAGAACTGCATATGACCACCATAGTATTTTTGTTTTTTCCCTCTCACAGCAAAGGATTTTGATTTTATTATTAATAATATAAGCAAGAGATTTCATAGAAATTGTGGTTCTAAGATGATGATCCTCCAGTTAATTATTCCTTCCGTCCAGCAATAATATTTGTCGACTTTATGAAATCAACAGATAATTATATACTTTGATAATCTTAATTTATCCTCATAATTAATTACAATCATTTTCCTACTACGTTTTTCAAGATATTGTATTTATTATATTCCAAGGATAATATAGTAAAATTATCTTTATATTTATAGTTTCTTAAGGAATATGCAAAGTCAATAATGGACAAGTATTATTGGAGAGAGGGAATATAATTAAAATTGACACATATATACGTGTCAATTTGTTTGCTTTAGTTATTATTTGGATAATTAAAATATATTTTCTTTGATCATAATTATTTTTAAATATTTGAATTATTAATAACTATTATGACCTAGTACTTTTTGTATAGATTTATCTAAAAAAATAATAAAAGTCTATATTCAAATTCACAAGGAAAATTAATTTTTTTGATCCATATATTTTGTATCGAACCAAACAAATTAAATTAGAGAATTGTATTGTGCTTTACTATCTTTCAACTTTATTTGGAAAAATTTATGATAGAAATATATATATACATTTTTGCCAAAATGCCAAGAAAGGAATAAACATAGAAATCTGTATATGAATCATAAAACTAGATATGTGTCATATTGTTATTATTATTAATTAGGTGAGATAAAATCTTTCTATCAAAATCCAAAAGATTACAAAAACAAAAAGACAAAAAGGACTGCGTTATCATCTCAATCAATAATTCATAATATATAACAAACGTGGTAGAGATTATTGACGATTATTCAACCAACAAAAATCTAAATGTACTAATCCACGGTTCATAAAAAAACTGACATTATTCAGTAATAAATTATAAAGTCGTATATATAAAGGTGGAACTGCTTCATTTTTATTCGGAGGTCTTAGGTTCAAGTTTTAGATATACAAAAGAATTGTTGGGAGTGCCATCTTGAGTGAGCTCTACAACAATTCAAATTTAGGCAAGATTTCATTATGAACTCCAAACACCAAATAAAAAAACTATATATATAGACATTATCTCATACTATGGCAAAATAGGATTATTTGACTTATCACTCTCTTTCTATTTAAATGATTATCACGTTTCGTTTTTCGATAATCAACTTATTTGAATTTTGACTAATATTTTAAGATGCATTTGTCCATTGTATTAATATAATAAAATATTGCAACTAATAGTAATTTTTTTATAATTTTTCTGAATATCCAAATATTAATTTCAAAATATTAAATTAATATAATTTAATTTAGCTCTAAAAATTAGTTAAATTGACATTTGAAAAGAAAACATGGTAACTACTGTGGAGTGGATACTAAGGGCATATTTGGTTGGAAAATTATTTATATATGATGATGAGCATAGAGGCCATTTTTCTCGAAGAAATCTCGAGTCTATCTACATCAATAAATAATTTTCATTTATAGTAATTAGATATACTTGTGGATGCAATCATTTGAAATCACACAAAAAAACAAAAAAGTAAAAAAAATACAAATAAATATATAGGGATGGATGAAAAAGAATATGTTGGCGTGGGTCAAAAGAAGCCACCAATTCATATTTTAAAATATAAAAATAGTAACGCACACATTATTTTAAACTGATTTGAGTTTAAATGATTAAATGACTTTGAGTTTAAATGATTAATATATATATGTATAATTATCTTTTTCCTGTTCAGTTACCTTGTCTGCCCGGCCATGGAGTTTTTGTAGGCCACATGAAGATTCTGTTAGCACGTCACCACTATGAACAGATATAAGTTTAAATTTATCGATAATCTCTTAAATTAGATGTTAACTTTTATTTAAATATTTTAATTAGATTTTTTTCATTTTAGATATCTCTTGTTATGTAGTGTGGCATTTCAAGAGGGAGGGTGCAAATGCCACTGATCCCATAAAATATAATGTCCTAGAATCTCCTCGAAAACTTCCATTTTTCAATTCAAAATTTGATGAGGGACAAAGAATTTTAAGCCAAAATAGTAACACAGTAGGTGGTTAATCTCTTGTTAAATATTATAATTCTCTATATAATTATTGTTTGTGCATGTAAATTGTATATATTGCAAATATATTATAGTAAGTAAGCCGATCAAATTTTATAATTGCATTTTATCACCAAGAAAAAAAAAATACAACAATGATCTTTTTATGAACAGTTATATTATCTCTGTCTAAAATCTAAATAACATTGTGTCTAATTACCATTCTTTCAAATATAGAAGAAAAAAAAAAGTATATATTATATTATTATTTTTCAACAACTTTTGAGACATGACGCTACTGGTACTAGTAAATGATTACTTCCATTACTTGACCTAATTTCTGAAACATGGTAAGTAGACGCGTTTATAGGTTTTGAAATTTATAATGATGATTTCAAATATTATTAACTGAGTTCTAAATTTAATATATGTACATATTTAATAAACTTCTTAATATAAATATATTATTTAAACAATAATTACTGTGTTCGACTAAATATATCAATCTATATTCGAACTTTTAGCTCCGCCCTGATCGAAAAGACATTGGAACTAAAGTTAGGCAAATGTGAGAATGGATGCCTTTATTTTTTTTTTAGGTTGTGACCACACCTATAGTACTGTTGGAAGTACCGATATGTCCAACATTTGAAAGCTTCGAAAATGACCCAACACCGACCCAAACACTGCAATCACTACTGCGCTGGCGGGTCTGACCTGGTCTCTACCCGCCTCGCGTTTTCAATGTCTTGGTCTTTACTTTTACTTCGAGCCATAAGGATCGCTTTCTCCAGCCTAAGTCAAAGAAATCTACTCTATGAAGGGGTGGAGTTGGATTTTTAGGTTATAGATTAATTGATTACTAATTTTAGGATATGTCTGATTAATAATATATACAGTTAGGTTAATTAGTTATGTCTAAATGGTCAAAGTTTACACAATATAAGTGTAGATAGTATTTGTGTAAATGTGTATAATTTATGCATGTTTTTTTATATTTGTATGCACAATGTATATACTGCGTATATATTTTGTAAACTAGAATATCCAAATATATTAAACTACAATTTTTCCTTTTACATAAAAATATATAAAATAACTAAAGGTGCAAGAATGGGTGAATTGCTTCTTCTTCTTTTTTCGTTTTTCTTTCTTTGAATAGTCGACCTGTGAGATTTACTGGTTGACTATTAGATTCAGAAATAAATACTCAAAATGAAAGTGTCGAAAATAAGATTGACACATGATGTTTTTATACTGTTTGGAATCCAATGTGGATCTTACATCCAGTCCCCTTTGGTTGCAAGGGTGTTCTTTTCTAACTTTTTGAATCTTTGTGATGACTGCAACTATAAAGTATAGTTCCTATGTATACACTCAATCCTTTTCTTTCTTTTTTTCCTTTGATACACAGTCTTACCAACAATGTTTTTCTCTCCTCATTTTTTTGTTTACGATGTAAAAACTAAGTAATACAATGCTAGTTAAAAGTAGAGTAGAGAATGTGTGAAGATTCAGACTCCATGTATGAGTGTCTCTTTGGCATTCCTCGACCTTTTATAGGCTGTCAAGACTTGAATCATCTTTTTGTGAAGAGATAGCTACCCAAGAGAATTGAGTGAGATCCTAATTGCCGCAATTACATGATTTGATTTCCACGGATTGTGCCTCATTTGTTTGGACCTGCTTGGTTCTTTTCTCTTTGATAGTTTGATATCCTACAAGGATCCATAATTATTTATCATTAAAATAAGGGCAAATTACAGAAATCACATACTTTTAAGGTAAAATTATAATCTATCCCTTAAAAATTTATAATTACAATAATCCCTCAAACGGATACAATAATATAAGCGCTGATACATTAATCTGATGGGCGAGATACATTAATCGTTAAGTAAGATACATTACATTTTATACATGATACACTAATCTGATGTACATTTCATACATGATACACTAATCTGATGCGCGAGATACATTAATCGTTAAGTAAGATACATTACATTTTATACATGATACACTAATCTGCTGTACATTTTATACATGATACACTAATCTGATGCGCGAGATACAATAATATAAGCACTGATACATTGATCTGATGAGCGAGATACACTAATTTGATGCGCAAAAATGAGGGATTTTGGAAATTTGTAAAACTTATAGGGGATAATGGTAATAAGTAAACTAAAAGGTGGGATTTCTGTAATTTTTCCTTAAAATAATTCTTGCACTAACAATAACAATATCGATATTGCTCACTAGCACATCCACATAAAGATCCAATGGGCCTAGGAAAAAGCCCAAATGAGATAGACTGTTGCTTTGTGGGCCTCAGAAACATTTCTATTCAAA